GAGAGGTAAAAAAGGAGAAATAAATAGAGGAGAGGAAATAAATAGAGGAGAGGTAAGAGGAGAAATAAAAGAGGAGGAAATAAATAGAGGAGAGGTAACATTGAAATAAATAGAGGGAGAGAAATAAATAAGAGGTGAAATAAATAGAGGAGAGGAAATAAATAGAGGAGAGGTAAGAGGAGAAATAAATAGAGGAGAGGTAAGAGGTGAAATCTTAAAGGAAGTGGGAAGGACTTGATGATAATTCTCTGATTATTCAAGAGGAAATATAGCAGAAAGCAAGAGAAATTTCTTGGATGCTATTTAATCTGCTGCACTTAGCTATCTTATTAAATCAAAGTGATTCAGCACTTTTTCATTATCATCTCCTTTCTTAGCAATATTTGCCATTTTGCAAAAATTTAGCTTTATTTTATTTCAGTTTTTCCTCAGGTTTTTGAGAGGATTCTCAAGTCATTTTGCGATTCTCAAATGATTAGAAACACAGTTTGATCTTTATTCTCAACATACCTAAGATATCTTCTGTGAGCCCTGTCCCTTCAGGATGTGAGCCATCATGGCTCTCCACAATTTCCTGTTTTTGTATGGTAATTTTATTGAATAAATTTACTCTTTAGTATTTCAAGATATTTTTGTGTAATTTTGGTAAATATATCTGTTAAAATGAGATGCCAGGGTTATTTTCATTTTTGCATAATTTAAGCAATTTATCCATCACACTGTGTGTGTGTGTTTGTGTGTGCATATAAATATATACATATATAGATAGATAGATAGATATAGATATATTTATACACATATATATATATACATATGTATGTGTGTGTGTGTATGTGTGTGCAGATATGTAGAAAAATAGGAAAGAACACATTAGGTAAATAATCCGGAGTTCTTTAGTATTTTTGTTTTTATTTTTAAAAAACAGTGCTCCATACAGAAGTAGAGAAATATTTTTTTAAAATAATATATATATATATATATATATATATATATATATATATATATATATATATATATATATATATGATGCTATCTGGCTAGAGTGGGGGTGATCCCAGTGTGCATCACCTTTGGAAAGTGCCAGAAAACTATACCACGGGTTGACCCAAGACTTGTGTGTGAAATTGGGTAGCCAGAACACTTGGGGCTAGCATGAAGTCACAAGTCATTGTGACTGAGGGTTTGAGTGTGTTTGCCTTGTTCAGATTGTTGATCACACTAGATAACATGTTCTCTCCCAGAAACTGTAACTAAGGTCTGCTCAGCATAGTTGCAGTATAAACCATGGGTGAGCTCTGTGGATGCTGAACAAACACAAATGTGCCTGAGGGAGCGTCTGCAATAGGGATTGGCTAGCCACCCTAGTAGACAGGTATCCTTGAATACGAGTGGCCAGCTATTATATATATATATATATATATAAATATAAAAGTGAACATAGAAGTCAACACTTAGAGGCGACAGTCTGACATTGCATATAGCATAAACAATCGTCGCCCTAAGTGTTGACTTTATGTTCATTTTATATTTACACACGCCCTATCTCTGATATCGAGCACTTTATCCCATAAATATAGCACACCTTAAGACTATATTTCTTCATATATATATGTGTGTGTGTGTGTGTGTGTGTGTGTATATATATATATATATATATATATATATAAAAGCAAATTTGGCAAAGGAAAATGAAAGAGAATACTGAAGAAAATAATTAAGTGTGAATATATTAGATTAAGTATTCTTTCTAAGGTCGGTTCAACATAGCTGTAGTATAAACTACAGGGTGGATTTGTGGATGTTGAGTAAACACAAATATACTTGAACAGGCATATTTAAAAGAGAGTGGCCAGCCACCTTAACCAATAGGTGAGCTCTGAAATGAGCATTATTTATAAAATAGTACACTGTGAATTATAAAACAAAAGGAAAACTTTTCTTAGCCAGCACATTTCATTCTCTGGTGGACTTTATTAAGGCAAATGTATCTTTTGATATATGACTGACAAGACAGAATTTTTTCCTGCAGTAAGTTGCCATTTCTTTCCGCAGTAGACCAGTTGCCATCCAAGGCTATAGAACCTGGTCTGTCCTGCTATTTACCCATAGTTGGGTGGATAAGAATAACTTTCCCCAGGGTATTAGCACATAAGTGAATGTAATGGATTCGACTGGAATTTGAACATGGCTCTCTGATTCCTCAATCCAAGACACTAACCATTAGTCCAACATATGTTGTCATTGTTGTTGTTGAATATTTTTTTATAATTTAATTATTATTTAGAAATTAATTTATGTATTATATATTTTAAGTAATACGTTTTGAAATTAACTATTTTATTTTTGTTTCTATAGTCGTATTTATGAGTGTCTCTTAAATTTAAAAATTCAGAAATACTAAAAACATTTTTATTTTTGTTTATAAATATTTATTGCAAAATAAAATCATTATATTTGTCCATCAGAAGATGAAACATGCTGGCTAAGAAAAGTTTTCCTTTTGTCTTATTTATATTGTCTTTTTACTGACATATGTTTATTTATATCTGAATTTTATACACACACGCACACACACACACACACACACACACACACATATATCCTCATCTTATTCTGTAAATAGCTGTTATGGGACCTTACCCATAATAACATAATGGACTATTCCATATGTAATAAATACTGCACCTCAAGAGGAAGCAGAGAGTTCAGTCTGAAGTCTGGAGTGAGGTCCATCAGAAGTCCATCAAGAGTCAGTCAGTTGAGTTAGAGGCAGTCCGAAACAGAGTCACGTTCAGACAATTACTACAAGACATTGGAATAGTGATACTGGTTGAGACTACATTGTTCTCTCTCCTAAACCTGATTGTTCATACTAACACTTTCTACTTCTCTGTATATATTCCTGTTTGTAATATATCTGTGTTATTCCATATCCATGTTCGAGTTCTTCTTTATTGGTTCTACCTTGGACTATCACCGTGGTACAAGGAACTGGACCATAACAATAACACTTTCAATAATTCCTAGGAATTGCCAATCACTTTTTAATACATACATATATATATATATATATATATATATATATATATAGTGAAATCATTTACAAGGTAATTCTATATTAAATGTTTATCATTGATACGTCTAACATATTCTATCAGTAATGCTTGCATGTGTAAGAAATGGTGAGTGAAAATGAATATTTCACTCAACGAACCATGACAAACATGACTTGAATTGTATTTATTTGGAGTTATTCAGTTTGCATCTTGTAAGGAAACAAAATCTCAGAAGCCATTCCTAGGTTTTTGGAAATATTTTTTCTTCCAAGGGTCATTTCATGAAGAAATAAAAATAAAATTCTTTCCCAAACTGTTAATGAAATGAACAAGAACTGCTAAAAAAAAACAATGAAATTTTCATTTCTATTTAAACAAGTAATTGAAATTCTTGTTGTTTGCCAAGAGTTTGGACTTATCATGGTTGGAATAGTTCCATCTGGAATCCATCGCCAGTCAAATCCAGAAAGTTGTCGTTGCCAGGCTATGGTCAATAAATTTCTCTCGACAAATAACATATCCCTCTCTACCAATCAAAGTGAAATGGCTGGGGAGAGGATTACATTTACTCTGTTTGTTTATTTATTTATAAGCAATTAACCTGTTTCTTAATAGAATTGAGCCACGTTTTTTTATTCCATTCCACTTTCCCCTGGTCTGATTCACCCCAACCAACGATTAACATCGGATTATGAAGATTAGTGATTAATGGGAAATAACTAATTTAAAATATCTTTTCTATATTATAAAACACAATGTAATATTATAGTCCCCATGTAAATAGCATAACTTTATATATTTATCTATCATGCCACCTGATCTCCCACTTTCTTTTTTTTTTTATCAATTCACCCCAAGCAATAATGCCACTAAGATGCAAAGGGCTACTGGGAGTGAAAGAGAATGAAGAAGATTTTAGAAGTAGCTGAAAATTCAATCCAATTCTCAACAGGAAGCAAGGGATAAAATTCTACTCCTGTTAAAAAGACTGGAGCTGATTGCAAAACATATGATAGGTTAGCATATCTACTGCTATTGCAAAAAAAAAAAGAAAAGATTAGTAAATAAAATTTCAGAGTTTAGGCAGAAACGTTTGAGGTATAGAGTTGAGGTACACTTTAGAAGGAACCGGAAACACAAAGCTAAACAAGAAACAATGGATAAACCTCTACTCCTGTTCAAAATTAGAGAAGGTGTGTGAACCGGGCGCTAGTAATTATCTTAGTAATGAAATATTGTTAACAGGATGCATTACTCAATGCCAATAAGTATACATGTCTTGTGCTATGATATCAACAGAATAACTTTTTTTTAATGTTAATATTCACCAAGTAGAGGTTCAAAGAGCCACTCAAGGTAGAGGGTTATTGTGTGATGTTGTGCGAGCATAAGAAAGGCATGAAGTGAAGTTCATAGGGCTATGCAGGAATGGTAATGGTTAAACCTAGTCTTGAAGAGGTCAAGATTGTTGCAATTGGGAAAACATCCTGCCAAGATTCAGTTCCACAAAACAGCAGTTCTTGGGAAGAATCTGTCTGAATGGAACGAACTACTTACTACTGGAATATTTTCAATGTATGTATATCTGTTGAAACTATAGGTATAGTGTTTGGCCTGCTACAACACTTTTCCCAGAACATGTAAACCTTACTCTCTGGTAGTAATTAGAAGCCTGCAGAATGACATTCTGATAAAAGTGCTACACAGATGCTCCTACTCTAAGCAAAAGTACTGACCCATAATATAAATAATCTGAACATTTTTTATGGGTAGTATGCTAGTAAATAAATAGTTTCCATCTGTTCATCTAACCTGAGTAGGGATCAATTCTAAATGGTTTATAGTTCAAAGGGTTCCCTCCGATCCAGCTATAAATAAATTAAGAAAAATGGGGGAAATGCTGTCGTCCAATTTGACAGAAAGCAACTGTAAAGTGAAGTTGTA